ATAGTTGGTTTTGTCTAAGATTCCATTTTTTCATTCAAGCTTCCTTTATAGTAGACACTGAGGGCTGGTATTGTGTCACGAATGACAATAATTATTTCTTTTTCCTCCTTGCTGTTTTGTTTTAGGAGTTTAGACTCCCTTTTGTGAATTTTATTTCTGATAGTAGGTTTTGTATCAAAGATAGGGTTCACACAACGAGAATATGGTTCAAAACCACTTAAACATAGCATTGTTAAACGTATTTTAGTATTTAAACAGTAGATATAGGCATATTTTTATCCCCTAAAAATTTTTCATCTGTTCGGATCTCCTAGCTGAAAGTCTAGTGATACGAAGATTATAGAGATCAAAACTTACCTTTTCGAAAATTTCAGCCAGAAAAAAGGCTCCCGAAAATTCTAGGTGACCTTTTTAGGGTAAAAATCCGTTGAAAATGGGCAATTATACCATTTTTTAGATGTTCGAATATCCTAGGAGGGGCAGACAAGCAAGAAATTTTACAACAAATGTTCCGAAAATTCTAGATCTCAAATCGTCTTTCGAAGAGATATTTTCCGAAAATTGACGTTGGGTGCCCCTGAAAGATTTGTGACAGATAATTTCAATATACCCTCATTTTGCTGTATATTTGTGTCAAGACTCAAAACGTACATTGAAACAAGAAATGTTCGGTTATTCACATTTGTCTTTTCAGTAAAAGGTGTGATTTCTGTGATTTTGATATTGGTTGTAGCAGTGTATCAACAAATTTTGTCAAGCACAGAACAAGGTTTTATTGGATTATTAAGAGGAAACCGAACGTCCATGTTTTAACTAGGGGGTGGGTCATGCAATTTCCAACCTTGCTTTAGGGGTGGGTCAGTCATTTTTGTGCCGAAGGGAGGGGGTGGGTCATGTATTTTTTATCAACCACATTTCCAAATGCTCCGGCCCCCCCCATACTTTTTGACCAGTCGCTAACCTTCGTCCTTGTTCACGTTAATACTTGGGGTGTTGGCCCTTGGGGGTCGCCCCATTTTGTTTTGTCGGGACTTGCCAACAATTGCGTCGACATTTGTGTCTGACATGGCTTGCTCCCTTGTTTCCTTTAGTCTTAAATGCCGTCCATCGTTCATGTTATTAAAGTCCTCCCCTTTTTTGTGTCATTTGTCTGCCGTTTCTCTATTTTTCTAGGTTCACTATGCCTCGAGCATCGGCTGACTGCAACGCAAACGCTCCCAGGGCGAGGCAACGACGAGCGCCACCTCCAAACGGCCGCGGCGAAATCAGCAACCCAGTCAACCCACTATTTTTCCGTCAGTTCAGAGTGCAGTCACTTCAGTTGACCTGTCCACATCCTCTCCGTCGTTCAACAATGATCTAATTTCCCGCCTGGCTGATGCTGTAACCCAACGCCTTTGGCAAGAAAATCAGCCTTCTTTGACTGCACTACAGTCTACAATCCCTTCCACTCCTCCATGTCTCCCGAGTCATTCCCTTCCTCTTTTGGAAAGTGCCGTGCAAGCGTCTCATTTGGCCACCCAGCCAGCAGTCTCACAAGGTGAGCCGTCAGATCCCTTTATCTCATCCAGTCTTTCACTCGACGCGCGTGTTTCTGAAAAGATCCGCGCAAAAATTTGGAATCAAGAATACGTTGACTTTGGCTCTCTTCTCGTAAACCCGATCGGACAGAGTCGATTTCAGTTAACGGTTAGTAACGCTGAATCGGGTCAACTTCCTTCCCTTTGTCTGGAGATTAACCATTTCAGAAATCACAGAAGAAGGACGAGAATCCTTATGATAAGAGTGAGGATTCTTCTTACCAAACCAGCATATTCTCGGCTGAGAATTTTTGTTTCAAGAAAGAATGATTACAGCTACATAGTTTAAATCTCATTAGGTATAGTTCCTTTTGACAAAAACTGTAATATTAATGAAACGAAGAATTAAAAACAATTTTGATCGTCTTTAACTGGCGGAAATACGAGATTTATAACAGCGTTGACAGATTTTTATAGGTATCAGTTGTCAACTTTTATCCACTCATTTGTCTTGGGTCTGTCCTAGCCTGTGTAGAGATCCCCCCTCCATACCTTCTCCGATTTTTACTGAGGGGAGGAGAGGTTTGTACACAGGCTAGGTCTGTCCCTGCTTTTTAAACTTTTTGAAAGGTAAAGCACATTTCAATTCGGCTTTTGATTATTTACTAGCAAAAAACAGTCCAGGAAGAATCAAAGTTAATATTAGGTTGATGTGACAAATGTCTCTGAACGACGAGAAGACGGTTCATCGTGATCGCGCCGATCGCGCCCTGGGCACGAATGCACCGTAAATCCGCTGACTTTTAAATTTGTTCCGTGGTCTACGTAGTGTACGTTTCAGTCTTGCTCGATCAACGGTCAAGTGTCCAAGTTTTTGTACTGGCAATCTCCTAAAGTGAGTCATTTTTTAATTCCCACCGATTTTGAAGCTAACCTACCTCGAAGTCCAGTTGCTCGTGGTCTGTGGCTTCTGAAGAATG